GTATATTCTATTCTTTTTTTCTTAATGTTTTATTTTATTTTTGAGAGAGAGAGAGAGAGAGAGAGAGAGAGAGAGAGAGAGAGAGTACAAGCAGGGGAGGGGCAGAGAGAGAAGGAGACACAGAATCTGAAGCAGACTCTAGGCCCCGAGCTCTCAGCACAGAGCCCAATGCGGAGCTCGAACTCACGAAATGTGAGATCATGACCTGCACCAAAGTTGGACGCTTAACTGACAGAGCCCTCCAGGCACCCCTGTATATACTATTCTTTATTGACAGTCTTCTTTCTTTTTTTTTAATTTTATTTATTTTAAAAAAAAAATTTTTTTTTCCAACGTTTATTTATTTTTGGGACAGAGAGAGACAGAGCATGAACGGGCGAGGGGCAGAGAGAGAGGGAGACACAGAATCGGAAACAGGCTCCAGGCTCTGAGCCATCAGCCCAGAGCCCGACGCGGGGCTCGAACTCCCGGACCGCGAGATCGTGACCTGGCTGAAGTCGGACGCTTAACCGACTGCGCCACCCAGGCGCCCCTTGACAGTCTTCTTTCAACTCACTGACTCCATCACCCCATTACCTTCTGCCCTAAAGGGTTTCAGATGGGAATTCACTGTTAATTTTACTGAGGAACAACGTAGGTGTTGAGTTAGTTTTGTCTTGCTGCTTACCAAGTCTTGGCTCATGAACCATTTGACTATTATTTTCTAGTTTTGGATTGCTTTGGATTTATCCTGAAAAAAAATTTAATGCTTCTTGGATGTGTAAAGTAATGTTTCTCATCAAATTTGGGAATGGAATTTTTCATCATTTATCTCTTCACATTTTCTTTCTGCCTCTTTCCTATCTTTTCAGCATTCTGATTAGGCTTATGTTTATCCTTGATGGTGTTTACAGTTTTCTGTGACCGTTTAATTTTTCTTGTTTTCTCTTTTTATTCTTTAGAAATAATCATTTTATCTGGCCCATTTTCAGGTATACTGGTTCTTTCTTGTACCACTGCAAACCTGCTCTTGAGTTCCTCTAATGATTTTTTATTTCAGGTATCGTACTCTCAAAGTACAAAATTTATAATTGGCTCTTTTAAAAAAATGTCTTTCTTTATTAGTACTCTTTATTTGGTGGGACATCATTATCTCCCATAGACATAGAAGATCTTTCACATACTCTGGGGATCTAGCAAGCTGCTTCAACCAGATCTTGTTCCTCAGATCTTCCTCTGTTGTTTGGGCAAACACTTGTTTGATCCAACTGCTGTAGGAACCTCAGGTACAATTGCTACTGATTGTTTTCAACAAACATCCTGAGTATTGCCGTCTTCCTTTGAGTCAGGTCAGTAAAGACATCACCTTGCCAACTGATTTTTTCCAGCGAGTTGTGAGACAGATAAAAAAGTAGCAATGCTCACGGGTGGAACTTTTTTCAAAGAGCTCAAATCTCAGTCTGTCCCCTTATGTTACTGCCTGCCAGTTTTTACAACTACGTTGGTGTCAAAGCTGATGATTTTCAAGCCTACTGCTAAGCAGTGGCAAGGAACATGGGAGTTACAACGTGAAAGTTATAAGGCCACAAACTGTGCTGTTCTTACTACGGCGTGGCAGTTTTTCTTGAATAAACACTACTCAGATTGTTGCAAGCCTTTCATTAATTTACCAGAGTTCTGAAAAAGTTAATTTTTACCATCTTTTCCAGTGTTTTTGTTGCTTTTATAGAGGAATAAATATATGGTGGTTCTAACTCTGCCATTCCTTGCCTTTGTTTTTCTGGTAGCCTGGTTTTATTAGTTGAGAAATGGTTTTTGTTTTAGATCAGACTCTTGCTTCTCAAATTATGATCCTTGAATCATCAATATCAACATCACCTGGGAGTTTGGACAAATAGAATCACAGGCCCACTCCAACCCATGGGAGTCAGAATCTGCATTTAGCCACATTGCCAGAGGATTTGTTTTTACATTAATGTTAGAGCACTGCAGGTCTAAATCAAGATTGCTCAAAGTTTAATCCATAGATAAGCTGTTTAAAAAGCATCTGGAGGGGAACCTGGGTGGCTGAGTTGGTTAAGCATCCGACTTCGGCTCAGGTCATGATCTCGCAGTCCGTGAGTTCAAGCCCCACGTCGGGCTCTGTGCTGACAGCTCAGAGCTTGGAACCTGTTTCAGATTCTGTGTCTCCCTCTCTCTCTGACCCTCCCCGGTTCATGCTTTGTCTCTCTCTGTCTCAAAAATAAATAAACGTTAAAAAAATTTTTTTAAATAAATAAATAAAAATAAAAAATAAAAAGCATCTGGACAGCGTTTTAAATGGAAGTTTCTCGAACCCATGCCAGACTTGATGAAGTCATAATTCATGCACGTAGAAGCTTGGGAATCTGTATTTTGAACAAACACTACAGATGATTGTAATACACATTGAAGTGTGGGAACTGCCATTCAGAAGCTGCACTAATCAAATAGGGTTTTTTTCCATTTTAATGACAGTTTGTATTTCATTTTACAGTTAATATTTCTATTTTAAGGAGGGCATCTTCACTGTAATTAAGAGGGACTTTTCAAATGCTATTTTATCCCAAAATGACACATGCACACTGTATGAAAAATCTAATATTTATTTTACTGGTTTAGTCTCTTTATTTGTGTGTAAAATTGTGTTATCCTTGTGACTGTTTTTTAGCCAGAACAAATTATGACCAAAATAAATTGCCCTTATGATTCACCTTGGATTTATAGAAATATAAAGAAACATTGTACATTTTTTTCTCATAATTTAATGAGGTTTAAATGAGAATTTAGTGCCTTAATTTAAATTAAAATTACTCTCTTGAGAGGAATTCTTCCTACTTTTGCTTAACTATAACTTTAAAATGATATAAGCTAGTCTGGTAGTCTGATACATGTCTTATACAGTTCATAGTTAACATTTTACTACAGTTAATTTTGTATCTTTAAAAAATGCTTAGTATTTAATATGGATGTAATTCCTTATAACCCTTAAATGAAACTCTCAGAACTACCAACCTAAAATAAAAGGACAGAAAGTGATGCTAACATTGTCATTGAGCAAGAATTCTGGTTCCTTGTGAGAGTCCTAGCTGGACTAAGTATCACATTGACATGAAACAGATTAACAGGAGAAAATCAAATTTAATAGTGTAAGGTTGGGGAATCCACCCAGACTTGGAAATTCCAAGGACAGTCAAAATGAGGTATATATGTCATCCCGAGCTAAGGAGAAGTGGACAGGGGTCTGGGATTTTAAAGGAAAGGAATGCACCTCATGGGACAATAAAAAGAGCAGATGTTTGGTGATTAGATGTTTGCCCTGCCATACATTTGGGTCACTCGGGTAGAATTTATTTCTGCTAATAAAGCTTATTCCGGGGAAAGACCCCCAATTTAGAGTCTTCTGTATAGTTAAGGGAGGGGCAAAAGTTTCTTTTGCGTCCAGAAAGTTTTGATTGTATTAAGCTTAAAATAATCTGCATGCCAAAGAGGCACATTCTGGGAATGGGGGCTGTCCTGAACCCCTTCAACATTGAAACATTAGAATGTATGAATGTTTTAATTGTTTTTGTATGCAGTTCTTTGTGTGTTTGTGTTTCAATACTAAAACATTTGATTAATTTTATTATTGATCTATTTTTATTGTAAAGCTCATATTATGAGATAACTGTGACATAGTAAAGATTTATTTTAATGAATTGTTGGGAAGGAGGAATTTTTTTCTGCTTTTCAAGACCCTGAACTAAGAATCAAATTGGTATGAGACAGAGTAACAGGAAAAAATCATACTTAGTTTCTTACATAAGGGAAATTCACACACACACGAAATTGCAAAGACAGTGAGGCAACAAGAGGCTAAAATGAACTAAGGAGAAGGATAGAGGTGTGAGGATACAAAGGGGAAGAAGACCTTTAGCCAGAAGGTGAGAGGAAATGTCTGGAAAACAAAGATTGTCCTCTTCAGATAAATTTCTTAGGTAAAGAGGAATCTCTGTTAATAGCTCTTTTCCTGGCATAGGATCTCTTTTCCTATGTAAATTTAGTAAGTTGAGAGGAAGGTGAACAGCTTAGCATAAATCTGCTGGGTTTTGATTGCTTTTGACTCATAGTAATCTTCGCACCAAAGTGGTTCATCTTCGTGTAGCCTATAGTTGGCCCCTACAGAATCCAGTTTGAATAAATCTGCTCTTAATATTATGCACATTCTCTTCAACTCTGCAGATAGAACTCTGCTGTTGATATCTTTCACCCACAGCAAGAGAATCATTTCCACCCTATCCTCCACTATAATATGGGCAACCTAAGGCAGAGAGGATAACTGATTCATGCTTGTATAACCAGCATCTGGTCCCACATCTAACATATAATAGAGTCTCCATAATTGTTTCTTGAATGAATGAGCATTATCTTATAAGGAGGACTGAATTGCTATGTAATTCCCAAAGATAGCATAATTACTAATGCACTGATTAACTAGGTATCCTCATCTCATGTCCAGTCCTGAAAGAAACATTTCTTTTTTGGAAATAAGATTAGAAATTATGAAATGTGTACAGCTCTGACAATACATTGAGACCAGTATGTGATTCCATTTTGTTTCTGGAATATCATTTGGGCAGTCACTTGTGTTACAAATTTCCTTGCTTTGAGAATTAAGTATTGCCTTTCCATATAAAAGGCTATTCTTTTTTATGTATTTCAATTCCAGATCTTTCCCTTTTTTTAAAAGTGATCTCTACACCCAGTGTGGGGCTCAAACTCACAGCCCTGAGATCAAGAGTTTGTGCTCTACCAACCGAGACAGTCATGTGCCCTGATCTTTCCCATTTTTTAATATATATGCTTTGAGATGCAAAATGAGAACATGTGGATTTTTTGAACTATAATTTATTCTGATTCGAATTATATTTTATGAATGAGGGAAAATTTTTAAAGAATGTTTTGTGGTCATTTGAATTTTGTTACAATAGAATTCAAAATAAGCCTTTTTTTTTCCCATTTAGTGTCACATTGGTGGAATCCTCAACATTTATCTCTTTGCCATGTCAATTAACTGAATCTGGACAACTCATTAACCACAAGAACAGTGGGTAAGTATGAATATATTTTATACTCATAATTATCTGAGAATTCTGAGAAATGAGTTTTCAACTAAAATTGTTATATAACGTACAACAGTTTTCATTTCTTTAAAATATTGATATTATATATAACTTATGTTATTCACAGTTACACTATTCTCTTATGTGTTACTAGGCTATGTGCAGGAAAACTGAATAAATATGTACTTGATTAAATACAGTGGATTCTCATTATTTGTGGTCATTATGTTCTACAAAATTGTGATACTGACTGAAGGAATATTATTCTAGAAGAAGTCTATGTAATCACATAGATTGTAACTGTAAATCCTAAAAATAAGCTATCCTGGTAGATTCTATTTTCTTCACACAGAGAAAATGAGGTTTAGAAGTGTTTAAATAACTTGCATGAGGCTGACCCACTAACAGCTGCCAGCAAATTGTTTCAAACCCTGTCCACCTGGTCACAGAGCTGAAGTTTCTTGAATATTTGTACTTCTGTCATGCCTCCTACTATCTCCATCCTCTGGTCATCTGTGTATGAAAACTAAAGCAGAAAGGTCCAGTGTCACCTTGTTTGACCTTAACTAGAAATTTGTATGACCATTGACTGGAACTGTTTGCCACATGTCCACAAACAGCAGGAGAAGCTCCATGAGTATGGATTTGGGGGTTACAAATCACTTTTTAGCGAGGAGACAGATTTGCAAATAACCTTAATTTGTGGATAATGAGAATTGACTGTTTTTAAGCTTATTCCACCTACATTCAGAAGTCTGAATTTAGTTTAGAAAGAAACTTTGACTTTGGAATAGAGAAGCAGAACTTTTAAAAGTTAGATTGTTTTGTTTCTTATCTATTTTTAACTATAGAATAACTATTTAATGTGAAATAGAATAAAAACAATGTTGCCAAAGTTAAAGAAAGTTCAGCCAAAAGAGAAGAATGCAAGTATGTGTTAGTGAAATGTATGCATCTGTTGACTACTATGTTGTTAGTTTATTTTATACCTTTGTCTGTGTATTGCTTGACAACACGGTCATCCTTTTAGATGCAAAAACGTGTCAGGAGTCAAGGATTTGGCAATTTTGAAACCATAGGAATAACCACTGTTAAAGTGATTTGTGCAAATCATGCTAAGATTAAAATGAATATAGTTTATTTTCCGAAAACGAGTTGTATTTAAGCCAATAGTTCCATGAGATTATAAGGATTACATTTACTATGTTTGATTTCTTCATTTGCTATTCTGTGAGAAAAATTGTTAAAGGAAAAGCCATTTTTGTCTCAATGCCTTTGTTTTATTGAATGCTAATTACATGCTTAACTAAGGCATTCGAAGTCTTCCTTTTATATTTTGCTTTAATGAATAATAAAATATGAATTAATACCTTGAGCGATAAAACATCATTATAGATACCATATGAATTGTAGTACAATTTCATAGTATTGTAGGTATTTTATTTTAATTTCTTTGGAGTCTGAAATGCTGGTTTTCCCATACACTCTTCAGTAAATAGTTTTCCTAAGTTTTTGTCTTTTCAGTCCCTTGCTTCTTGATTAAACAGCTATTCGGCATCATAGATTTTACCTAAATGGGCTTGAAATAATTTTCCCACATCAACCACAAATAAATTTATAGTATCACATATTAAACTGGAGTTAGATCGCAAGGCAATGCTATAGGTATCTGTAAGCATAAGTAACTCAAATTTGGATCAGTTTAATGAACAGTAACACTGAGTTCCCCTTTCTTAATTTGGAACGCAGTATAGAAATTCTGTATTCCAAATTTTAACATAATTTTTCTTCATATAATATTCTGGAATGGTTTTGATTAGATCCAAAGTTCCATAATTACTGAAGCTATAGGTAAAGACATCATTTTTATGTTATTCTTCTCAAATCTAAACTAAAATGGAATGAACAAGTATTAAGACTTTTATAATTTAACTTGAGCTGGAAAGGACACTTTACAAATACTCCCCCAAAGTAATTGCCAACTCAGCATGAAGTACACCTTAAGAAGTGTGTCTATCGTGTCTCAAAATTATTAATCATTCTTTCTCATATAGTTTCTTCCATTCATGTTTATAAAACTTTATTTTCTTAGTTCCTTGCTCAAGGTTTCTTGTCATAAAATTAACATACAGATGTGGTGACATTGAGTATTGGTCAGAGAGAACACGTCCAATGTAGAGTAGTCACATGTCTGTAGATTAACTCTAAAAGAATGTTTCAGAGCCTTTTGTTTAAGGTATTAAGCATTTACTCCTGTGCACTTCAGGTCAAAGGTAAGAGTGAGATTTAAAAAGGCAAAGGCTATAGTTTTTCAAGAAGAAATGGACCTTGGTTTGTCATTTCAGCCCTGGCCTCAGCTAAATGCTGAGCCCCAAGTCCACATGGGTTGAAATAGAACAGTCTCAGGTTTATCCCAAAGGCTATTTTTCTGACATTTCTGAAGTGATTTATTAGAAGCACTTATGGCTCCTTCTTTTGGGGTCCTGTTTACTGTATAACACCTCTAGGATCCAGTTCATGTAGCAGGCAAATCTTTATTCACTTTCTCAAGAATCAGCTAAAGTATCCAGAGCTCTAACAATCAAATCCACTTTATAGGTAGCAGAAAGGAGGAAGCACAATAAAAGTGTGCCTCTTCTTTCTGAGTTAGGGAAGCTTCCCAGAAATAGCACACAGCATTTCTGATTATAGCCAGTTGGCCAGATCTAGCTGGCAAGAAGACTGAAAAACCATCGTTCTCCACATACACATCAAAAATAAAATGAGGGTTTGGGGGCACCTGGGTGGCTCAGTTGATTAAGCATCCAGCTCTTGGTTTTGCCTCAGGTCATGACCTCAGGGTTCGTGAGTTCACACTCCACATCAGGTTCTGTTGGCAGTGCGGAGCCTGCTTGGGATTCTCTCTCCCTCTCTCTCTGCCCATCCCCCACTCATGCTGTCTCTGTCCCTGTCTCAAAATAAATAAACTTTAAAATAAAATATAAAATAAAATAAAATAACGTTTGGTCAGTGAGGAGGAAAGGGCCCGTGGATATTGGGATAGGCAACCAACAAGTTCCACCATGAGGGGACACAAAAGAGAGTTTTATTTCATACACCACAAAGGTATCTAGTATTTCATCAGTCTGGCTTCAGTGGCATACTGAGGCCTTTTGGTCTTTAAATACATCTTAATAAAATAATACTAAGTGATGTTACACACTCTGTTTTTCTTAAAGCTCTCCTTAATGTTTGTCTTGAATAGATTTCCATATGCAAATAAAATTTAAGGACATACATTTTGAATCATGACCGGAATGGAAGTCATTAATAACTTTTGTATGTAATATACCATCCATTAAGCATTATCTCAATAAAACCCAGTCTGATCGCTAGGTCTAATCAGCAAGAGAACAAGAAAAGGTTAAAAAAAAATATTCCATAAACTGTCAGTAATCTTTATTTTTTAAAGCATTTAACAAATATCCCTGTTTTATTCCTTTTAGGCATGTGGTAATATTGCACTTCCCCAGTTGGAGTTAGGTGTGAACATATAACTTAATCGGCCAATGGCATCTGAGGATAAGTGCTGAACTTTTTCTCCAAAGGATAGCTTTAAGAGCCAGTGAACAATTTTTCGTGTTCCCTTTCCCTGATACAATTACTAAAGAAGCAAGTATAGAAATGGAGTCCCCTTGACAGAAATGCACCTTATTCTTTTCATTAGTCTCCATGTGTGATGAGGTAGTTTACATTTGCTTGATTTACTCAGATAATAAACATTTGGCAACAGTCAAAAAAAAAAAAAAGAAAGAAAGAATAGAAGAAAAAGAAAAAGAAAAAAGAAACGGAGTCCCCCTTCACCAAGGATCTCTGAGTGCTTCCTATCTATCTAGGATGGACATGTAATGTGAGCACGAAGTAACCTTGTGCTAATCCACTGAGATATGGGATGCTCCTGCAGCGTGACCTAGCACATGCGGATGCTCCTCCATAGATCACTTCAGTCACTATTTCCCCAGATAATAAATATTCTCTTCTCAAATGAGCAGTGAAGTGCTGAAATTATCTTTGAGGTGGTATAAAAAAAGGTAGTCTCTTATTAAAAATTTTAAAAATGCCTCTTTTTATAAACTGCTCTTCTTAAGGCAACGGATACATATAAAACAGCACATTTGGAACCACATGGATGATAAAACTTTATATTCATCACACATTTTACTTTATGGGAAAATGATCCATAAGCATAAGCAAGAGCAGTTAAGAAGTTTTTATTCTAATTAAATCCACAGGATTATGAAAAGGGATCAGAACAAGAGACTGATTTTAGCGACATTTAAAATTAAATGATGGGTCAACAGTGCTCAGAAATGAGCACTTTATAAATAATCTCCTCAGTGATATGACTTGATATTTTTTTCCAGTGACATTGAATCATTTATCATTTAATAAATTCTTACTAAGTGGCCCCTCAAGCAGTGTTCATAGTACCAGAGAAATACTGGGATAAATAAGTCAGAGATCTGGTTCTCAAGGAGCCAACCTCAAATAGAAAAGGAAAAACAAATCTACATAAATGGAGGTGATTGTACAGGGCAGAATGCATTCAGTAATATATGTTGACCAAAAAAAAAAAAAAAAAAAAAAAAAA